AAGTTTTTCAGAGTCCCCCCCCCCTCCTTACAAGGTCTTTTTTTGTCGCGACCCAAACCCGAACCTGGTCGTGATGGCGCCTCTCGTGAAGACAAGACCAGCCAATTAAACCCAATTCACTTTTTAAATAGTTAAATAACATAAAAGCAATCTGAAACATGATATAGCAATACTAAGTAGCGAATAATGCCAATAAAGTGCGGAAGTACAACCCAACACAGCCCTAACCAGGGTGTCACAAGTCACAAGCATCTACTAGGGTATAAATACAACTGAAAGTCTGAGTGTACAAATACAGACTAATGAATGAAGAGAGAGAGAAGTAGTGTTGCGAATGCCGGCAGCTACCTTGCTAAACTCCAATGACTCTGCCTCCGATCAGCCAAAACCCGCTACCGGGTGTATAAATACCTGAATCTGCACACAAGGTGAAGGGAGTAAAGTGAGTACTCCAACTCAGTGAGTAATAATCATAACTAAAGTCTGAATGGTAAGAAATCACGTAAAGCATATCAAGGTGTCGTATAGAAGTAGTTTAAAAACTAGTAAGAAAGCACTGAAACTGTAAAAAAATCTCTTAAAACATCTTAGCTCGGTTTAGACTTCTTTGAAAATGACTTTTTCAACAATTACGCAAATGAATGCAAAACAGTTAGTGCAAATAAGCACAAAAATCCTCCCCTCGGGCACAAATCCCATATTTTAACAGGTAAATGACAAGTAAATATGAAAAATAAACACATAAAGGTTCGCCCCTCGGCACAATGTCAACATATTCGCCCGTCGGGAAATATCTCAGAACAATAATAGCCCCTCGGGCAATCACATAGAACGGTACCAGCCCCTCGGGCAAATCACATAGAACAATATCAGCCCCTTGAGCTATATCTCACATCACAATGGGTACCCGCGCTCACTGGGGGTGTACAGACTCCAGGAGGGGCCACTTACGGCCCAAGCGCAATAACAAGTCATCTCGTGGCATAAAATCTAGGCTCTCGGCCTCATATCAATCAAGCCACCTCGTGGCATATATATGTATCTCAGGCCCTTGACCTCATAGCAGTATCAGCGTATCCTCACAACTAGGCCCTCGGCCTTACTCAATCCGAAAATCATCACAAGCCCCTCGGGCAATAGTAAAACAATCATTCTCAGCCCAAAACATCATTTAAATCTCAAAACTGAGTAAAAATGGCTGAGTAGTAAAAACAGTGGAAAATAACATGACTGAGTTCAAGTAATAAGTCAACACAGTGAGAAAAATAGTAATAAAAATCCCCGAAGGGTTCAAGTAGTTGGCACGACGTCCAAATATGGAAATCAGCCCAAATCATGATGATAGCAAATAAGTTCAGTCAAATACGCGGTAAAATCATCAATTGGGACGGACCAAGTCCCAATCTCCAATAGTGCACGACCCCACGCCCGTCATCCAGCGTGTGTCTCACCTCAATATAGCACTACGATGTGCAATCCGGGGTTTCAAACCCTCAGAGCATCATTTACAACCATTACTCACCTCGAACCGGCTGAATCTCTAGCTCGCGACGCTCTTGCCCCTCAAATCGGCCTCCACGCGCGTCGAATCTATCCAAAATCAGAACAAAAACATCAAAATATGCTAAGGGAACTACGCCCAAGCGAAAACAATCAATAAAGGGCACAAATCTCGAAATGACCAAAACCCGAGCCCTGGGCCCACGTCTCAGAATCGAGTAAAATTTACATTTTCAGAATTCTCATACCCTCACGAGTCTAACCATATCAAAATTATCCAATTACGGTATCATTTGGTCCTTCAAATCATCATTTTACATTTTTGGAAGATTCCACAAATTTTCTTCCCAAATTTCATCCCAAATCACGAATTAAATGATGAATTCAATGGTAGATTCATGTACTCTAGCCAAATCTGAGTTAGAATCACTTACCCCGATGAATTTCTTGAAAACCCTTCAAAACATTGCCAAAATCCGAGCTCTCTAGGTCAAAATATTAAATATAACTCAAAACCTCGTATTTATAGAGTACCCCACTGATTTCCACCTCTGCGGACCACACAAAAACGACCGCGGTCCGCACAAAAATGACTACGGCCGCACAGGTTTTTATCTGCAGTGATAGGCTTTTAGTATTTTGGCCATAACTTTCGCTACAGATGTCCAAATTGCAATATATTTATCTTTATGAAAACTAGACACGAAGGGCTACAACTTTCGTTTTTGAATCATCTCAAAATTCCTTGTAGATCAAAAGATATGAGCTTCCGAAGTAAGACCAGTGAAATATTCCCCGCCGCGGCCGCACTGCATTTTGTGCGGTCCGCACAGCACCTATCGCGGACGCACTTCTTTTTGTGCGGACCGCGCTGGTGGGTTTCGAGGCCTTCAACCCTTCTGGACCTGCTACAACTATGATTTTCGGCCTAAAACATCCCGGAACCTACCCGGAACTTCAAACCAATTGCACCAACACATCCCATGACATCGTTCAAACTTGTTCAAAACTTCGGAACGCTCACAACAACATCAAATCACCAATTTAACATAGGATTCAAGCCTAAGAACTCCAAGCACTCTTAAATTATGCTTTCTTTCAAAAAGTCTATCAAATCTCGTCTGAATGACCTGAAACTTTGCACACACATCCCAAATAACACAACGAAGCTACTGCAACTCTCGGAATTCCATTCCGACCCCTATATCAAAAATCTCGCCTATCAACCGGAAATTACCAAAATATCAACTTCGCCAATTCAAGCCTAAATCTTCTCTACAAGTTCAAAACCCATTCCAATCGCGCCCCTAAGTCACAAATCACCTAACGGAGCTAACCAAACCATAAAAATTTCAATCCGAGATCAAATACACACTAGTCAAATCTTGGTCAAACCTTTCAAATTTTAAGCTTTCAACTAAGACTGTTCTTCCAAATTCATTCTGATTAACCTGAAACCCAATACCAACGATTTACATAAGTCGTAATACATCACACTGGGCAAGTCATGCCCGAGAACTGGCGAGCCAAGTGCAAAAGCTCAAAACGACCGGTCGGATCGTTACATTTTTCCCCCTTATATACTAGAGAAAAACCCTTCGGAATTATAAGCAACCAAATACAGGGAATATTCGACGGAATATTCTTAATGGCCCCTAATGGGATTACACTACTACAGGGGTCGTGCAGTTTCTTCTTTCGCGCTAAGGTCGTCTCCTTTGGGACGCCGATTCGAAGATACTTGGTCGTTTGTCGTGCTCGTCATAGGTCAAGGTCGGTCAAATTTGGACCAATACAAATATTATGTTAGTTACCTTGTGGAACAGAGATTAATTCTCACTTAATAATTTGTCTACTTTTTTCTGCCTCTGCCAATTGATATATAAAGAAATACATCAATCAATTATCCAAATTCAATATAACAACCAGATAATGTATTATCTCAATATAAATTCTTATACCATGATTAATTGTTTTATACGTCATACCAAACCACACGTAAGTCGTATGGTGGATATATAGAAGTAGGGGTGGGTATCGGTCGGTTCGGTTCGGTTATGAATATTATCGGTTTATCATATCGGTTATCGGTTTACAAATTTGATAAATCGATAACCGAACCGATAAGATATCGATTATCGGGTATCGGTTAATCGGTTATCGATCATTATCGGTTCGGGTATCGGTTTACCCGATAAGATAACTCAATCTAGAGTTAAGCAAAAAAGAGAAGACAATTCACTGGAGTTAAGCAAAAAAGAGAAGAATTCATATATAATATACTAAAGACTTACGCTAGGAGTAACTAGTAAGGTCTATGAAGAATGAAGATGAAGTAACTAAAGAGTGCTGTTGAGAAAGAATAGGAGAGAATGAACTGAAGCTCTAGCATTTGTATATATTTAAGGGTAAAGTCGTAATTTTATTAATTCTTATTGTATTATCGGTTAACCCATTAATAAAATTGGAAAATCGAGGCCCGAATCGATAACCCAATAGTGAAAAAATTTTAAACCGTTATCGAACCGTTAACCCAATAATCCGATATCAATAACCCAATAAATAATTAATGGTTCGGGTTATCAATTTTACCCGACATATGCACAACCCTGTATGGAAGGATGGGATTTAGATTCGCTTTGACAAATGAGGCCTATATAAGTGCGAATTTTTCTTTTTTCTTTTTTTGAAAAGGAATTTTGTAAAGTGAGAAAGAGAGGTCCATGAAATGAAATGGGAATACTGGCAAAACCTACTCAGAGTGTACGGACATGGGACCCATCTTCAGGTGGAGGCTTTCACGTGTCATGTGTAGAGAATTCCCACTAACAAAAGAAAAGGAACTAAACCAGTAGATATTTTAATGGTAAAAGCTACCTAAACCAGTAAACTTACATGCTAATAGATTTAATGAAATGAAACGTATATTATTCATTAACACGTTTTATGTATTTACTCCCTGCATTCACGTTTATCCTGTGTACTATACTAAAAATATATTTTCATTTTTACTTGTCCACTATACTAAATCAAGAGAAACACAAATTTTTATTTTATTTTACCCTTATCATTAACTACTCATTCCCTAAATCATTTCTCAGAGTTTTTTTGAAATGCCATTATTATTATGAGTATCATAGTAAAAAATATATTTCATTTTTTTTTAAAGAGAATACAAAGTCATGGATAACTAAAAATGAAGGGAGGATGTATTAGTTTAATCTAAATAGTATTAACACCTTCCTTTTCTCATATTAGATGTGAAAGGAGGCTTACATAATGCAGCATCTATTGTCGTTCATCCTATGTAACAGTAAACAAAATTACCTGAGGAGTATAAAATCAGTATTATTTTCAATATGATAGTGCTACTGTGGTACAACCCCAAAAAAACAAAGCATTGGCCAATACAGAATTTTGAAAAGAAAAAAGAAAAATTAAAAGAACCTCAGAAATAGACATGAAACTCAACAGAGATAGTGCATCATCTATATATATCCCTTTTCTCACAGTTACTACTATCTTTGTGAGCTTCCTACCTCTATTTTCCCCCTTGATCTACTGGTAATGAATGGATTTCTTTTTTTAGTTTATGTATCCTATTCATCTAAAAATTTAAGGAATGTGGTCAGCAGATGTCGTCATCTGTGAACAAGATCTAAGACCAAATACCAGGAAAAAAGTATTGGATGTCTTCATCTGATTATTTTATGTATATTTTAAGCTGTCAATTTTCCCGATTCATTGCTTTTAGATGCATACACAATTTCTCTTTCTAAGCAAATAGAGTTAGTATTTGTCTGCTTCCCCTATTCTTAATTTGATACCCGCACGGCATAGATACAAGTGTAGTCCATTGATTCCAAGATGTACCTTGAATTCATATATCTGCATACAATCACATAATTCTTAGATACAATAAATATTTTTCTTGCTTCTGCTAAATTGATATATATAGTAACTCTGTACCCTCTTTTACTTTTTTGGTATCGGAGTATCGATCGATTGATACAGTCGTTGTTTGCAGATGTAGCATCATCAAGATTCACATAAAAAACGCATGGTGATGAGCTGATGAAATGACATTAATGGCCAAGGCAGCTTTCTGAAGGTGAGAATCTTGATGATGCTGCATCAGCAATAAACGACTACCTGATTTATCATTATGCCATTGGAACGATACACAGATAATTAGCATAATTCATGTGCAAGAATGCCACGGGTACATGGTATGGTTCAATTGATACAGTCGTTGTTTGCGGGTGTAGCATCATCAAGATTCACATGAAAAGGCAAGGTGAAATGAAATTAATTAAGAGCCATGGCTTTTTGAAGGTGAGAATCTTGATGATGCTGCATCAGCAATAAACGACTAACTAAATAATCGCTTCAATCCATTGGAACGATACCGAGAAGATTAATATGAACTCTGCGACTTGTAAGTACAGTTGTCAGTTCTTTATTCGGAAAACAAGATGAGGAGTTCCCCTATTTTCCTATGAATTATTCTTTTGATTTTACTTTTCCAGTTTTTCTTGTGATTAGGTGGGGATATTTTAGTTATTTGGTTGGTATTTAATCTATCTGTTTTATCTTACAGGTGAATTACAATTCTGTTAAATTTATTCCAGTCTTTTTGTATATATTGAGAAATAACTGTTTGAAGAGGGATTGAAATGAGCTTGCTGATGCATGATGAGTGCATAGATTTGCAGGTGACGGAAGTTGTGATGGTAATTAATGGTGTCTCTATCAAATAGATGAGAACTTCTCTGCAACTCTCTCTTTCTATGATACATTTAAACTGAATGGAGCACACGAGTTTTCCGTTTCCAACTTTCTTTGTCTTTAATTTAGGGGAAGAAAAGAAACAAATATAATTGATGCATATATGTAGGACTAATCGATCTCCTACATGGGACTCTTTGGGTTTTTTTTGTTTGTTTTTTTGTTTTTAAAGACTTTGAGGAGTCAATGAAAGATTATACGTCTTAGATCCCGCGCATTGATGAAAGAAACATCAATCATATTCTAAATTTCTGGTCCGCTTTGGAAATAGATTGCAAGTTCTGGAGATATTCATGTTAATTTGAATAGCTTGAAAGTTTATCCTTGACCTAATAAGCGGTTAGGCAACCTTCCATTGCTGCGGCTGGCCATTTCCTGTTAGCTGTTTCAACAACCATCTTTTGATTCCAAAATCAAAAACTGACTATCTCCTCCCGGAAGGAGATAGAAAGGACCCCCTCAATCCATACTTTCTTTATTTGAGAATGATGTTGGAAGAAAAAAAGGCAACTCTTGTGATCCTTCGATGTTATTGAAGGGAGGGGGCTCAACCTGAAGTCTTTAAATAGAATCCCATCCGCCTCCGGTTCCACCCGCCTTTACTAATAACTCCTATTTCACTCTCACCATAGTAGTGTCGCCTAAAAAGCGGCTCCTTTCCTTTGTTATAAGCTGAGTTCTCAAGTTGGGGAGTACAGGTCCAAGGTCTTTTCTTTTCTCTATGGCAGAAAGTCCCTCCAACTTGTCTGGTTAACCGAACTACCTATTCAAAGATGATGAATTTTTTCGCTTTGTTGAACTAGCTATTACCGTGCTAGTAGCAGAGCCACCTGTATCCAAGAGTTATTAAGTGATATTCCTACAGCCAAAAATTACATGTATAGCTAGGTAAAAAAAAGGTTATGTAAAAATACATTATTTTGAATCTGCTGGCTTCTTCATGTTTACTTCTTTATATTATGACTTCTCTCGATCGGTGAAAATCCAGATTTTGATGTGCCCTCCAGATGCATGTCATACCCTCATTGCTTTGTTGGGATAATTTGGCATAGAGGTTTAATTTTCCATTACCATCATATTAAGTAGGTGGGTCAAGGAGAGTGTCTGCTTGTATCATTGGCCATCTTCATCAGTGCTACTATCTTCTCTTCTCTGGGAGTTATTCAGCACCAATTAATTGTTGACCTCTCCAATACAAGGACCTGAAAAGCACATAATATAGTATCTCCATTTTTTTGCTAAAATCACTCATTGTTGTGACAACTCAGAGTATTCTCTATTCTATGTTTGTGCCTTCATTACTGTGCATAAACACTGGTTCTGACTAATTAGAACCACTACAAGTCAAAAGAGGTAACTGTCCATGGCCTAAGTATGGCCGGATGCATCATATGACTAAATGCAGCATAATCTGTGTAATATACTCCACTGTATTATTCATACTTTTAGATAATTAATTTTCTCATTCTTGAGAAAAGCGTATAATAGTTCGTGACAATTGAAATTTATTTTTGATATTTTAAATTGTTTTAAAGATTATTAGACCTTTGAAATATGTAAGAATGACATGAAAATAAAATTAATGCTCACTATTAGTTGGAAGTAAAATTTAAGTCCTAATATACAGTAGACTGAATACATATGGAGACACTTAAAGATGACACGATTTTTCATTTAGACACCTAAACTCAAGAGAGTTCCTATTGAGCACTTATACTGCCCGAAACTTATTCCAATTAAGCAGTTCTTGCTGAGTTGACACATAAAGTGAGTTTCACCCCATATAGGTGCGTGAAGACCCCAAAAAACAATTTTTTTTTCCTTCTTCTTCTTCCTCCCGTAACAAAGCTTATCGCCTTCCAATGAGTCTCAACATGATTTCCAATCAATTTATTGTTCTAAATCAAACACCAAACTCCTTGAAGACAAGGAAATTGAAGAAAATAAGCTTAATTTGAAGTGGGTTGTGTTGATTTTTAAAACTTAATTGGATCAGTTGGCATCTTTTAGATCCATTGTACTTAGTTTTGTATAGTTTTGGATTTAATTAGAAATAGTCTACATTTTCGCTTTTGAGTTCTTGCCAGATGGAGCAGACATTGATGAAATTTTTGGTGAGAGTGGAGTGAGGACGAAGCAAGGGTGGTTGGTGTGGTGGGTAGTCCCCATCTCTTCACTGTCGGAATCCGGCGATAGACCGGCGGCCTCATCCTCTCCAAAAAAACCAACGATCCCCCTCTTCTTCTTCAACCCTAAGAAACCAGCTGCACCCCATCTCCTCATCTCCAGCCGCCGCCGCAACAAACCAGGCTGCTCTAAGAGATTTCCGGCCACCACGCTGCCGCTGGACTTCTACTATTTTTTTTAAAGAGGAGGACCTAAAGCACTCTAGATTGGATTTGATTGTTATAGATTGGGTTATATTGTAAAGAAATTGCAAAATTCAAGTATAAAAAACACCACTGTCATACATCCTTCCTGCAATTTGTTTGTAATTTCAAGTAGCCCAACTTCAAAAAGTTGAATTTCAGCGTTTGTCCTCCACTAAAGTTAAAACGAAGAATCATTAATTCCTCTCTTTGTTGATGGGTATCCTCTTTAAGTTAGGTGTGAAAATTTGCCTGTTCGTTTCTATTTGAGGATATGTTGGATTTTTGGTGATTCAAAAGATTGCAGGATGAAGAACACACATGAACATATAGTGAAGATGCTGAGTTAAGTAGTATTTTTAGGTTTTTTCCTTTTTTTACTCAAAATAATATATGTCCTTTTTGTATTCGTCATTTTCCACGTCAGCAGCGAGTGCATTGCATAAACTTTGTAAGTTTGGCTGATTGTCAAAGAAGTGCTTAATTGGAATAAGTTTCGGGTAGTGTAAATGCTCAATAGGAACACCCTTAAGTTTAGGTATCTAAATGAAAAATCGTGCCAACTTTAAGTGTTTCCGTATGTATTCAGCCTATAAAGTCCGGTACACCGGCAATGTAATGTTGTTCAATCAATACATAGATTAGGCTATGCCTAATCACCACCAATGGTGGTTTTATTAAAAACAAAGTAGTACTAATGTAAAAATTCTTTTACAGGTACTCTTTTCAACCAATATATATATATNACATACTTATTATGAGACCGACCTTCTCCATCTTGATGATGCAAAATGAGGATCGATCTTCTAGCCATGGCTCTACGACCCAATGGTCGTTGATATGCTTCGGTCTTCTAGCCATGATTCATTCACCACATTTTAGTCCACCACCTAATAGGAATCTTTTACAAAGTAAACTTTTGAAAGAAATACTAAAATTTTGAAAATAAGTTCAAAAAAGTGGTTAGCACGCAACATCACTTTCAATGAAAAGATGATGAAGGGTCTCTATCTTATGAATTTTACTACAATGGCAATATGGCACATATACAGAGATCAGATGTAAAAACCAAATTTCCTGATGTGGTATCCGTGTGAATTCTCTGTTGAAAATGCTTCCACTTCAAGAAGGAGATCTCGGAAGGAGGTTTCTTTGTGCGAATTGTTTTTACTCGTATAAGTGGTATTTCTATGTCTTATGATAATCTCAGAAACTAATGTAGTGCTAGAAGAGCACGATCGATGAGCTACATTTTCAAATAGCCTTATATTATTCTCATTGAGCCATTGTGATTTATTGAGTATAATAATCAATAGATCATGCGTCAACTTGTGCCGACCCTGTGTCGAGGTTAAGTTTCTCACCGGTCGATTGGTACGATGAATAAGCAAAAATAATCTTGGGAGAAAAAGTTAGTACCACATTATCCCCTGTTTGGTTTATTCTAGGATTAAAAATAGTACGGGTAATGTATACTTGTCTGAGGGTGGAATAGTTATCTCACGACAAGTTATCACAGAATAAACTAATAAAATTGACAATCCCAGAATTAATACAACATACCAAACAGATAACAAAAAATAATACAAGAATAACTAATCTCAACATAACTAATTCCAACATAACTTATGTTCAAACAAGCGACCCCTGAAGGTATTTTTAGTTTGACCTAAACATAACTTCTTTGGAAAATCATTTTCCAGAAATGTGACATCTCGTGATTCAATCTCAGTAACACTTCCATCCTCTAATTCACCAATGAACACATACCCTTTGGAGTGTTCTGAATATCTTATCAAGATACATTTCTTGCTTTTTGGACCTAATTTACCAAACTTACTAAATGAATCTTTTACATATGCAACACAACCCCAAGCTCGTAAATCCTTTAAGTTTGGTTTATGAACAGTCCATAGCTCATAAGGACTGGAAGAAACTGATTTAGAAGGCACTTTGTTCAATATGTAGGTTGTAGTCAATAACGCATCTCCCCAAAAAGAGATAGGTAAATTTGCCTATGCCATCATGGACCTTATCATGTCCAGTAGTGTTTCGTTCCTCCTTTCTGCTACACCATTTTATTGAGGTGTGTACGGAATAGTTAACTGTCTGCTGATGCCCTTTTTAATACACAATTCTTCAAATTCTTTTGATAGATATTCATGCCCTCTATCGGTTCTTAAGGTCTTAATCCTTTTGTCTAATTAATTCTCAACTTCATTCAAATATTTCGTAAAGCATTCAAGTGCTTCAGATTTATGAGAAATTAAATAGAAATAACCAACGCGTGTGAAATCATCATTGAACGTAATGAAATATAAAGCACCAGACCTAGCCCTCACGTTCATTGGACCACATATATCAGAATGAATTAATTGCAATAGAAGATCAGCTCTCTTAGCCTTTCCAATTGGTTTACGTGTAATCTTTCTGACAAGATAATTTTCACAAGTTGGCATTTCAATTTTAGAGAAATAACATATATGTCCTTCCTTATCTAATCTATTCGTTCGATCCTGCCCCATGTGACCTAATCTTGCTTGCCATGTAATAACATCAACATCATTGTTACTAGAATAACATACCATAATACAACGATCAACATAATAGTTATATGTAGAAGGATTACAATCTAACATAACAAAATCATTGTCATACCTCCTTTTTACTACCCCCGAAAGGGATATAAGGGAGTTTTTTCCAATTTAAGTGACAATAGAAACGGGATTTATTTATATTAAAATCAGAGTCGCCACTTAGGATAATTTATGGTGTCCCAAGTCACCGGCTTAAAATCCCGAATCGAGGAAGATGACTCTTATTTATGGTCTGCGAACACAGAAATCCGGGTAAGGAATTCTGCTAACCCGAGAGAAGGA